TGGCTGGCGCAGTTTGCCGAGCCCAGCGAGGCCGTCGACGGCGTGCTGCAATACCTCAGGGAAGACCAGCGAGAAGAAATAAGGGCGCTTCTGTGCGCGTCGATGGAGGATTACACTCCGTCCGACGTGAACCTCGAGGACTTTTTCCAGAATGGCAAGTACGAATGCGAGGCAGCCAGGAAAGCGGGCTTACCGCGGTGGGTACTCGGTGCTCTGGCAAAAGGTAAGCTGGCCCCGTTCATCAGCGATGTCCTGATACTAAGAAGTACCTTCCTCCACGTTCAGGTGGAGAACATGCAGAGACCCAGCGCTCATAGCGCGGCTTTGCCCATTCGACAAGTTATCTATGGACTGCTTCTGAAAGTATCTCAGAATACTGAAGCTGCTTCTCCAAGTAAGCAGACCAGCGAGCTGCCAGTTGTATGTGAATTTGACAGACTCCAAAAGACGCTGAAAAAAACGTTTGTTCAAGCAGCAAGCCTACCCACAGATTTTTGTGATGATCATTTTCCTTTGGACAAGTTAATGGAGGTAAATGGTTGTCACGACAGGTCACGGCTAACAGTGACAAAAAATAGTTGGGACTCATGTTTGCCAGCTGGCTGCTAAATGCGATGCCACCTCAGGACCTAACTACTTAATACAGAGGTGCCTACAGGGCTCAGCTTGGCCTGTGATACTTAAGAAGCTACCTAGTTGCCTTTATCTTCTTCCCTTCCCGCCCCCCCCCCAAGCAAAGACAAAATTTCATGAAAAATTGATTGTGTGTATATGTGGTATTCTCTAAGTTTTCCATTCCAAGCCCTTCTTTCATCGTATGTATTCTGTTACTTGCTTTCACAATGATAGGAAGGAACTCAGTTTCATGACACTTAGAAAAGTGCAATTTAACACTGCAAAACTTAATTTCTATTTGATCATGCTACGGGTGTTGCAGAGCAATGTTCTGAAACAAAATCTGACCCATGCTGCTTTTATAAAAAATCGCCATTATTTCATGTATGATTCTTGCAGCTGCCCAGCAATTTTACCTGCCACAAGTATGCGTCCTGCTAGGGTGGACCCCTGCTGCTTGGCAGACACAACAGCACCTGAAAAACAGCTTGTAATCAAAGGAAAGTTGTGCTAGGTTAGTTCCAGTCTTCGATAGCCATTTTGTGTATTTAAATTCTAATGATTAAGACTGTAACTCTTGCTGTGAATGGAAAGTCATCTCCCATTCCCAAAGTTGCATAGCTGAGGTTTTGTATGCAGTAATTTCTGAAACATCTGGAAATACAATCTGTGTCTTCTAATACTGCATATTTAAGCCACGTGCTCTATCCCTTCCGGCATTCAGATCAACTATTAATGCATCACTGTGTGTGGGATGTGCTGTATGTTTTTATCGCTTGCTGCTGGCTATTTCATGTAAGAACCAAGTCTATCACTACTACGACCATTAAATGCTACAGATAGCTATGGATCCAAAGGCCTACATACAGGTTATTGTTACAGGCCTTTTAAACAAGCAGTATGCCAACACCTAAGTTTGAAAAGTCACATTTGGGGATTTTAAGAAACATTAATGACACCTTAATTTGGTCTTGGTATGTACATAGTTTGTTTAAGGAATTTGAGATTCTGCTATTGTAACAACTCTCCTTACTAAATATATGGGAATTATCAATTCAACAAAAGGTTAAAAGAAGAAAAGTTATTCTGCATTTAAAGTGCTCTAGGCAAAATTGAAATCAATCTTCTACGCTTCTAAAGAATAGGCAAAACCATCCTAATCAAGGTTCACAAAGCACTGATTGCAGTTGAACAGCCTGCTGCATGCAGGAAGTTATGGACAAAGTTTATAACACTGCTTCTTAGAAATCAAATAGCACAACAAATAGGGAACATGTGCCAGGGATTAGTATGTTACAGGTGAAAAATGCAAGCTTCACACTTCAGATTTCATTGTGATTACAAGTAAGCATGTTTTCAATGTATTTCCTGTTCAGAATATCTATGAAACTTGAATAATATTTTATGAAAAACATGAAGTACTAGCTGGTTTGAACATAAGCTTATTTGCCTTTTGGAAGTGGCTCACAGTAAATAGAAGTGTCTTACCTTTATTTTTCCACTCCAGTTTTTTTCATTTATTTTCAGGTGCCCATGTCATGCCGTCAGATGCTTTTGCTGAAGACTCTTGGAGTGAACATGAGTTTCCTAGAATCTATTCCCAGTCACTTACAGCTCCCTGTTGCTGTAACCTGTTACTGGATATGTTATTCAGAACCAAAAGTTAAGCTGCATCAATTAAAGGCTTTACTTCTAATGATAGTATCTGGAGAACTGCACAGGATAACAAATGATCCAGGTATGTCTGCAAATAATACAATTTAGATGTTCAGCTACTATGAAAAATTTACACCATAATTAATTTTTCCTCATTTATGGTGAGTTGTCTAAACTCAGATGAATTAGCATTGATTTACATTATATCCTGGGGTGTCACATTCTTTGCATCAATACAGAGAAGAGAAACAGTGCTAGCCATCAGTTTAACATTTCATATAGGTAAAACAGTGCTTTGCCATCTTGTAAAACATCGATTTGCATTTACAAATACTTTCTTTAGCACTAAGATCAATTTAGATATGCAGGCTACAAAAAAATAAGTTTAACGTACTTATGCATCAGAAGAGAATACTATTGATGCAGATTTTTTTCTCATGAGATTTTCTAAAATCATCTATTTAAAAATGCTGTGGTGCACAGGCACTGTGCATGGAGAGAACGTGAAAGTACTAAATTATCACAGAAATCGTTTCAGTAACATTTATACCTGTTAGAGTTGTGGTGGCATTTCCGCTAGGAGCCCTTCATTCGATGGCAAAGAGTACACATGCCAGTGTTACACAGTTTCTTTAGGTTCTAGTCTATAGAAAGTGGACTGATGTGGTTGCCACCTGCTTCCCAAGTGGGTGGGAGTGAGATGGAATTGATCCACTTGCAGAACAGCATAGCAAATTCCCTAACAAATAGAATTCCTGATTTCACAATTTCAGATTCTTGTGGATATTGATACTTTAATTTTTTACTCAATTTTATGTCTTAAAGTTCAGTTTGAGACACTTGAAAACATTACGAAGGCTTCCTGAAATAGAACTGGAGGTTTGAGGACCCTGTGCATTGCAGAGACTTTTCATACTGTTCACAGATGAACACTTACTTGCATTGTCATATTTATTTATAACCTAGATTCCACAGTTGTACATGCTGAAGGTGACAGAATTGCATACAACGAATTTCTGGAATGGAAGGAAAAGAAGTTGCAAAATAAAGACTTTGATTTAGATGCTGCACATGGTTTTTGTCAGTGGCAGTGCTGTCTTCAGATGGGATTGTATCTCAACCAGCTACTTGGCACTCCGCTCTCTGAGCCAGACCTAAGTAGGTAAGGTTGTTTCAGAGATCTGCTTTCCACACAAGTCCCTGATGAAATGCGTTCGCATGTTTTATTTTCTGTGTCAAGCTTCTTCGGTCAATTTTACTTCATTTGAAGTCCCTTCTTTAAAGATGAAGAATAAATACGGGGAAATAAAATGTGGGGAATAGGTATCCCTTAGGAGCCCACTGCTGGATCCTCTATGTATTTAAGACGTTTTTTCCACTAAGCAGCACGTTTCTGTACCTGTCCTGCCAGGGTTCAATTCTAAACAGTGATTTTCTCCTTCCTTTGAGCAGGCTTTACAATGGGCCCCTTGTGCACAGACTGTATCAAGAGCTTAAATCAACACCTTCAGTGGAAAATCTGTTTAGTTCATCTCCAAAAATTACTCGGCTTTATCAGGTTTTGTTAAATACGGTGGAGTCAACTGTACCTGCAGACTTCTTTCAGAAGGTGACCAAGACCAAATCCGAGTCCTGCAAGAAGAAGAAAGCATCTAATAAGAAAAAGGCCAGCAGGCCAAAGGCTATACCAGAAACTCAGCATTTATGCAATGTTAATCGGTTTGCATCACTTCGAGTGGATGACTGAAAGTGTTATTGCTGAAATAACTTTTAATGCCATGCAGATGGAAGAAATTACATTAAAATATGTGACTACTGGAATTTGCTGTTTTCATGCAAGTTCCTGATGTGATCTTTACCAACAATTCTTGCTTTGGGGAATTTTTTTTGTATACTTTTTTATAACTAACACTTGTATAAAAGAGGTGCTTTATAGAAGTTGTGGTGTTTTGTTTTTCTTAAAAGGTATGAGTCTAATTGAAAATGAGAGCAAAGTTGTTCAGCATTTCAGAGCTGGACTGTTCTAGAGGAATTCTTTTCCGAAACATTTATAGTTGGCTATCATCTCCATCTCCCTGAACACTTCTAACTTCCACAAAACCCGCTTTTTAAGTTTGTGTTTGAGGAACACAGTGATTCCAATCTTACCAATCAGATTGTACAAGTGGAAATTGACAAGTTTAAAAATATTGTAGAATCAGTTTTTACAGGTATTTTCAGGGAGAGCTAGCTTTATTCCGTGACAACTGAGTAAGTTGTGCTTGCAGTATTGTAGGTACTGAATTATACTCGGGGAGAAGCTTCAGCTTCTATTCCCCCCTTTGGTATGTATGAGTTAAATGCTTACATGCATACACAAAGCCATCATATGGTAGCAAGTTTCAGCAGGTTTGCTAATTCAGAGTAATTTTGTACACCCTTGTGCCATTAACAAACTGTTGTTATTTGAGCTAATCTCCTTTCTCTAATGGAGGTAAAATTAACAGACCTGTTTAACTTGCCTGGATGTACACAAAGTTACTTGAGAAACCCTTACTATCAACATGGTAATAGTAAAAAACAATTTATATTTTAGAAAGTCCTACCTACATCAACAGTATTTCTCAGTGCTTTGTATTAGCTAACTTTCCAGGAAAGTAAGTAAATTTACATAAATGCTTTTCTTATAACACTTGTTTTTCCAGTGCCTTCCCTGTACGAAATCTAATTACTACATTTGTCTTTTCCTCCTCAAGAATGCATATACTTTTTCTTGCATTCAGAAAAATCATGATTTCCACCTTTAATCATTAAAGTTTTGCCCATTACTTACCCAAATTCACGCCCGATTCCTGCATCATCATGTGCTCAGTTTTCACTCCTATCTATCTGACAGCTATCCACATGGAAGTAACTCACTAGAACCAGAGACCTTACAGGAAAGGTCTTTGATGTCATACAGCTCAGCTTGTATGTCTTGATATACATATATGATCAGTCTTGACACTACCATAATATATTCAATGAGAACAGATTTATAACATCTATTAAATTAACGAGACAATTTTTGAGATGGTCCTCCAGCACAAAGCTGCTACTTATTAAACTACCAGCAGATGGCACCTACACTCAACCATACAGCAAGTTACTAGAACTTTACAACTAATTTCTACATAGACTTCAATTTGCAGCAGACTGCAGTCACATTTCCATCATGTGATTTTATCTACAGTGAAAGGGGTTTAAATTTAAAGCTTTTGATTTTAGTAACTAAAATCCTTAATCATCCAAATCACCCTCTAGATCCATTTAATGATGCCATGTGTTTCATTATGGTTTTTTAATCGTGAGCAATAGCCACATTTAAAATAAAGCCTTGAATGTTAAAATGCAGGCATGTTTGATTCCACTTTGTTAGTGCTGTAAGAAGAGAGATCTCAATTTACTCTGAATCCCATACTGGAAAACAGCTGGAGAGCATAAATTCTTGAGACTTGCTGAGAAGCAGTATCTTCAGTTAGATAGTTCAGAAAACAGGGATAGACTCAAATATTCCCCTTTCAGATAAAAACGCTGCTATGATCACATGGCATTTTGAAAATTCCTTTGGGAGTGCTGACTCCATGATTAAGAATTACTCTGCTGGAAATGTATTCTCAGGGCAGAATTCAGCTGTTCTTTGTTGCTGATAAAATGAAATACACCTCATTGCAAACACCAATCCTGTATGCTGAAGAAAACCATTACTGATTCCAGGGTTACTATGCAGAATTTAAGTCGTGTTCCAGTCTTCTCTTTTGAGTCATTACAGGCTTTCAATCTTCTTTGTAGAAAAAATAATAAAAAAAAAAAAAGGGTCTTCACTTACTAAAACTGAAATGTTCTTTATTCCATGCCTTAGTAAGAGCAACTAAATGCCTTGGTTGTAGTCTTACTTTCACCCCACATGACGTGCCTCTTAATTTTTGTGGAAAGATTCCACTATTGATTCAATCGCTCCAGAGAAAAATCTCTCTTGAACTTGCTGTTAGTTGGTAGTGATCACGAGTGGTGCCAAAAAAATGGCAATAGAATCCAGTCCAAGCATTTTTTTTATAAATAATGAGATTGAGCTAGATGAATGACTCGTTATTGTTTCCTCTTCCATTGGAAAGCACAGCAAAACTCAGTTTGGCATATTTAAAGTGAATTGCATTCAACCGAGTTCACCCTGCAAAGGCAGCAAAATTGTTCTCAAGAGACTGAAATTTTATTTCTTGCTTAGACTGACATAGCTTATTCAGAAAGTGAGGCTGTTCTGGGAAAGGGGTACTTCATAAAGTTTGTTTAAAGACAAGGCAATAACAATTCCAAGCTAAGATGACAAATTGGTGTTCAGCTGCACTTCTGTACTTACCTGGATTTCTAGGACTCCAAGACAAGAGTGCAGAGCGCAAAGCGGTCAAAGCCCACAGAAGAGTATCAACAAGTTAAGACTTACTATGTGAAAGGTATAGTTGCTGTCCCTTCTCAAAACCCAAGTTTGTTCAAGAGATGCATCATCAGCATGCAATTGTGGGTTTTTACTACCTGTCTTTACTGCAGAATACTAAGGATTTTACTAATAAAGTGTTCTGAAACTGTATTGAGATACTGAACATGCTACAACACTGAACAACTACAGCCCCACTTGCCAAAGACAGTAATAGTTCAACAGTAGGAACACTGACAAATCTGTTGAACTGCTGAAAGGCAGAAATAAGAGACTTTTGCTTGAAGACATGAGCATTTCCATAAGAGGTCATCTTGTTCAGGCCCTAACCAGCTCAGTGGTTCATATAATGTCCTGCAGGAAGAGATGAGGGCCATACACTGCAGTCTTTGCCTTTACACAATTAGATCTCCAGTACATTGGTTGTCCAGGCAATACGTGCATATCCAGCAGGCCCAGGGTCAGCCAGAGCAATGGATGAATTGCATGCGTAAAGCTGACGCAGTGGTGCACTCATGTCCTGTCTGCAGCCCCACTTCCTGATCGTGTCTGGGAATCTCCAGAAGAAAAAGAGAGAGCAATCAAAATAACCTCTTAGCAGAGAAATACATACAGCACTTTCCAAACTGCCTTGTTTTCAATGAACTCCCCAGATTTCGAGCATGGCATGTGGGGCAAGCCACAGAGGTAGTGCAGAACTACCTCAGTGCCCGTTTACAACAATTCCTCATTAACCGAGAGGACGACCATCGTGACAGCATGGCCCAGAGTCAATACCAATGCTACACTTTCAGGCTAGCGTGAAAAGATGTGTATCCACGTGCTTCCAACCAAAGAGACACCATTACACCTCCAACTCCCCCTAGGGATCTTAGGCATCCTCTTTTCAAGATGCCCTATGCAATTGTTCCTTGCATTTCCTCATGGGATGATGAGTCCTACTCTGATGAGAAGACACTGATGACAACAGCTGCAAGTCTATTTTGAGGAAGAACACTGTTTTCCAATTAGTGAATATTAGAGTATTCAGACATTATCATGTGTTAAAAATACTTTTAACAGATCAAGACATCAATCTAATAGAATGCTTTTCTAGCCACAAGAAGTCATTCTGTAGGTTAAAATTTTAAGTTACACTACCAGTAAAAAGTTTATTTTTATGACCAGGGTGGAAGGAAGAGGAGGAAGGAAAACCAAGCTTCTTTGAAAGAGGGTTGGGGGGTTTTGCCATTAGAGTGAGGATTAGTGCATTCATTTTCTAATTCAATAGACTACAAATCGTTTCAGTAACAGTACTGTCTTACAATCACTCAAGTGATCTAACAGTCATAAGCTAAAGTAAATATGGAACAAGACAGAAACAAAGCTTATATCTAAAATTATATCAAACCAAGCATGCTAATCTGGTGTAAATGCCAGCTGCTTTTAAAACAAAGAGACAACACACTTTTAAGAAAAGCAAACATTTACTTCAAATCGCAGTATAGGCTTTTCAATCACAGAAAAAGAAAAGGAAAACAGTGATCCGACAGCGGTCACATCCTGTGCAAAAACAAAACAAAACAAAACTCGGGATACAAAAAAACCTGTAGCACAAGGTACTTGAGCCGCTTACACATTGCAGGATAATGTAAATAAATACAGTAGCTAGAATATGGCACTCTTGTGAGAGACTCTAAACCCAGTGGAATGCCTCCGAAATATTTTTTTATCCTTGTATTAGTAGCAAAGTCCCACCACCATGAAAGTAAAATAGTACAATGTTTTAAATAAAAACAAACTAAAATATTTATATCTAAGAGAAGGATTTTACATAGTTATATCTTTTAAGTGCAGAAAATGGGACTTGGGCTTAGATCTTTCTTTAAATTAACCCCCCCACACACACAAAATCCCATTCAATCTCAAAGGTAAATTTATGGTTGAGGAAAATTGTTACCAAAGTTGCATAATTTCATTTGTTACTCCCATAGCTGGAAGTTAAATTCTAAACAGTCTTGAAACATGAATGTTCATCATTACCCAGTGAAACAAAGGACTTGTCAAAAGCCCTCAGGATTTCTTTATCCTCCAAATATTGTTTTGCTTTCTCTTACATCTTTAGACAGCAATCCCTAAGTCTGCAAACAAAAGAATGCAATATGCATCATACATCAAGAAAAGACGAAGTTGACGAAGAAGAACTTCCACGTTTCTGGATCTTTTCCTTGCTTCTTTCAAACTTCTTTATGATCTCAGTCACTATGCACACAGAGGAAGTGAGTCCCAGAAGAAACAGTAAATCTGGAAAGACATAATTAGCCTTTTTCAAATTTGCCATTTAAGGCTGAGGGCAGACTTACAAAAGAATAAGACCTATAAGACGTTCGAATTGTCTCCCAATCATGGGGTAAGTTCAGGAGAAATGAAGCAAGACCAATCTTTGCAAGACCAGAAGATTAACGTGCATAGTTTATGCACAAATCATAAATA